TCGTATAAGGGAATATTGTCTAGTTTACTCTAGTGCATCTCTGGCGTCTCAATTCGGGGGAAAATTACATATTCGGAAATATTGATTAAAATAATAGTTTTTTTGTTCACTTTGGTATTTCGATTGTTTTTTACATCAATAAACAATTTGGTGTGTATAAGACCTTGGTAAAATCATCCATTGTTTTACTTTCTTCTTAAATAGTCCAAGTGAGCTTATTTGTTGTAATTCTTCAGGGATCATATTATGACACCTAGGTCCCAGAAAGCTGAATGACCTTTGTAAAACATTTTTTTCTGGTTTTAAGACTTGTACAAAAAAATCCGTGTATCATAATTATGCTTCACTGTTCTCATGCTGCTTCCATCAGTATGAGCGTTTACCAGTATCGTGTATAAGTATAGTTTTTTTTATGCTCCAACTACCACGAAGGCCTAAGGCCTAAACACCCATTGGGTACCGTGGGGCTATAGGGTGATACAGGGAAAGGGGGGACGCCACACGGACTCTGGCGAGGGTACACGTGTGCATGCAACATGCACACATTCTGGCTCCGCCTACGAGATCCGCCGGGTGGTACCTCCACGTTCGACAGTCAGAGACCGTCTACCACCTACGGACAATCACAACATCCATAGCCAAGAGAAAAATTTCTCCTGGGACGGGACTCGAACCCGCACAGCGCACGGCGACTGATCAGGAGACCGAAAAGTCTACTACTGCGGCCACCGCTGGTGCCTTGACGAGTATCAAAAATATATTCTTGGAACAATAACTATGTTGGATAATAATAATAATAGACGTCTTTATTTATCCACAATTACATTGTAGTATAGCCAAATGTCAGGCTTATATGGCGAAGTTTAGCATGCTGCTACTCTTACACTTAACCATATAGTCTCTAGCAGATGTTCAAAAGAATACACTATCCACAAACAGATTTGGTTCATTACATCGAAAGTAAAATTTAAAAAAAGAGAAAAAGGCATACTTTCCAAACCCAAATGCACCAAAAAATTATTAATCTGAATTAAAGATGGAATAAAAAAGAAATGAATGATTACGTAATTATATGTTTGGAGGGTTGAGTAATAATGTTTTAACTTTTTGTCGAAAGACAGGTAATGAAAATTCTTTATATACTTTAGGAAGGTCATTATAAATAATAGCAACATTGTAAGAAAAACTGCGTTTAAAAAGTGTAGACGTATGTAGGAGTATTCGAATATTATTTTCTCTGAGAGTGCTACAGTGAACATCATTATTAAATGAAATTTTTTCCTTCAAGTAATAAGGTTTAGACGTGAGCAGCAATTTGTGAACAAAAACTGAATAGTGATACTTGACCATGTCATTAATTTTTAACCAGTTTAGAACGGGATATTTCGCTGATACATGATCAAATTTACGTAAGCCAAAAATGAATCGTATGCAATTGTTTTGAATAACTTGAATAACGTTTTTAGTGAAATTGTCTAAACAAGTATAGTATACGATATTACAATAATTTAGTATAGATATGACCAATGCTTCACATAGTTTTTTACGCGACTTAAAATTTAGTAAATACCTGTTTGCTATAAGAGTGCGCAGCCGTAGGTAGGTTTTCTGAGATAGACTTTTAACATGTTCAATAAACCTTAATTTTGTATCAAAAACAACACCAAGAATTTTTGCAGAATCAGAAAATTGCAAAATTTGGTTATTTATCTGAATGTTCAAGAGCTGTGTTACATTGTATGTTTTTCTTTGTGCGCAAAATAATAACATTTTAGATTTTTGTGGATTAATAAGTAGATTGTGATCTAACGAGTATTTAATTAATTTATTAACATCGTTTGGTAAAATTTGAGTAGTATTATTGACATTATCTGGGTTAAAATAATGGAGCAATTGCGTATCGTCTGCAAATGACTGGACATGAGAATTATCAATAGTTTTGCTTAAGTCGAACGTATATATGAGGAACAGAAGCGGCCAAAATACAGAGCGCTGAGGTACGCCTGAGGGAATTATTGTCACTTGAGACATTTATTGATTGAGAAAAACACACTGAGTTCTTTGATGAAGGTAACTGTCGAAAAATGAAAGGGATACACTGTCAAGACCTATGTTATATAATTTAGCAAGTAATAATTTATGATTGATGCTGTCAAAGGTTTTCGAATAGTCTATAGAGATTAAGGCTAGTGCCATTTTCTTATCTAAGGCACTTAAAATATTGTCTTGTAGATTAAGTAGGGGAGATGTTGATGTTGAAGTATAAAGAATTTTTCTAGGTGAGCGGTCAATTGGAACTTTTCTAAAATTTTGGATAAAATTGGTAATAAACTGATAGGTCTGAGATCATTATACTCAGTGGGTTTCATTTTTTTAGGAATTGGAATAATTAGAGCTTGTTTCCATGTGTTTGGAAAGTAGCCTTTTTCCAAACAGTCGTTAAAGATGAGGACGATGTGATGGAGAATAATAGGCAGGCAAAGCTGGATCATTGACAGGGATATACCATCAATTCCCTTCGCATCAGATTTTAGGCTCAATATTGCCTGTAATGCGTCATTTGAACTAATCTTATTCAATGAAAAAATATATTCAGAGCTTAATTTATTTATGAAATAGTTTTCGCAAACTAGTGAATCAACAGGTTTATAGCTATAAACAGACATAAAATAATCATTAATTTTGGTAGGGTCATTAAAACTTGCCGGAAGGGTTGGTTTACTACGAAAACTTATATCAAGTTGTTTGAGAGACTTCCACAATTTTCCATATATGTCTTTTTGTCCCTCCTGATCATGTTAAGAGCACGGTTTCTAAGCGATTTGAAGTTATTATAGGCGTCCACGGTCTTATTATATAGTTTTATATAAAGCTTGTGCAGTATTCTTTTCATCAAGAACAGTGCGCAGTTCATTAGTTAACCAAGGTGATGGTGGCTTATTAACTCTTAGTTTTGAAAGGTGCATGTTTATTATAGGTTTCCACGATAATGCTTGTAATGTGCATTACCTTCTCATCAATATTAGATTTCGTAAATAATTCATCTATGCCCGATGTAGAAAGATCGATAAGAAAATCATCCTCACTGAAATGTTTAAAATCCCTGATTGTGATAAATTTTTGTTTTCTTTTATAAGATGGAATGTCACAATGAAAAAATACGAGTTTGTGGTCCGCAATACCATTCGTGTCCATGACGGAAGAATAGCTGCATATTTGAGGATTATTTAAAAATATTGTATCGATTAATGTTGCAGTACTATCTGTGACACGGGTGGCTTCCGTTACGATTTGTGTGAACCCCATCAGCTGAAAACTCAGTGAGAATATATTGTTATTAAAAAAATTCATATTCAGATCTCCCAATATGACGATGTTATAATGATATAACCAGAGGCTGATTATTTAATAAATCTGCACATTGTTGTATGTTTTTAGAGGGTGGTCGGTACAAAACACCTACTAACAGTTCACACTTACCCGCAACCAATTTAACCCAAATGCTTTCGAAAAAATCACCAAAATTTGTATCAATATCTACCTTTTCAGCATGTAAATTTGATTTAACATAGATTCCAACTCCTCCACCACGAGATTCTCTATCACAACGCAAGAAACAATAGTTGCTAATATTAACCACATCATCAGTAATATTTTCATTTAGCCACGTCTCTGTAACAGCGAATACATAAAAATTTTCTAATGCTATTAAATTTACAATAGCATCAAAACTAGACATGAGGGAACGTACATTCAAGTGGCCGATAAGCATTTTACTACCAGCCATTAAGAGTATTTGAATCGTACATAATTTAGAAAGATTTTGAGTATTCTAAATAATTCTAAAATGATCAAAATAAAATTCGTGAGAGATGTCTTTGTTGAAAGAATTCATACACTGGGCAATTTTTGTCTGTCGGAACATGATCGGTACTGTAAGATTCTTTATACTGGTGATTTGAATACAAACAGTTGCAACATTTCGAATGTGCCTGCTTACAAAAGGAAGTGTCATGGTTTTCTCCACACTGAGCACAGACTTTAGGATTTTGGCATTTTTTTCCAGAATGATTAAATCGGAAACAATTTGTGCACTGAGATACTTGATTATTTTTGTATACAGATACATTTTGAAATCCTAATAGAATTTTTCCATTATAATCTTCAAAAATCTGTTTAAATAAATTACCTGTGACCTCTGCGTAAATAATATATTTTTTTTGTGCAATATACTTAATAAAATTTATCTTAATATCTTCTTTTTCTATGAAATGGTTCTGTCTTGTGATGTGTTCTACTATCTCTTCTTCGGTAATTCGTTCATCTGTATGGTAGCCCACGATTTTGATTTTAGGTCTAAACATTTGCGGTTCAGACACCTGGTACGATGCTGGCAATTTTTTCTGAATTTCTTCCTTTAACTGGGCATGATTACTTTCGTGGACCTTAATTTCGACACCACCGTTTCTAAAATTCTTCACGTCGTCAATTTTGATTTGAAGTTTAGACAAGCTTAAGTTTTTGTCTAGATCTTTACGCGTCTTGAGGCTTGTTTATTGCTGGGTTGGTATAATCACTATGCTTTTCAATGGGATTTCCTTGCTTTTTGTAGCATAGGTCTTTTTAACAATTAATTTTAATTTTTAATTTTAACAATCCTAGTATTCAGTTTCTTGGGCGCGTCAACTACAGTTTCTTTTTCAGTAATATTTGTCGACAATAAATTCAGCTGATCTTGAAATCTAGTGTTCTCGTTCACAAGTTGCTCAATCAATCTATCTTTTTCTATTAATAACTGACTGTATGAATTAACTTTTTCATATAATATTTTTATTTCCTGTTTTAGCTCCTCATTTGTTGTTCTAAGGCACTTACTGCTTTTAGGTGTATCCGTTGGTGCATCACTTGGTTTGGTTATCACCATTTTTTGCACTCTCAGACGTAGCTGAAGCAATCTCAGCCGTTTTCTTTTTTTTCTTATTCATGGAGTACCCAGTATGGTCGTATCACTTTCTTCTAGTCTAGACGATTGATGTCAAATATTTTGTCAAAATTCTTCGCTGTATTGGCCAAAAAAATGTTTGCCACTGGAAAATCTGTTATCCTCCAAGAATATCAACGGAGCTGCACCCCAACAATAGTTGCAGTAGCGAGTAATAAAATATTTCAACAGTTTTCTCGAGGTATACGCGGATTCAGTGCAATAAGGCAAGTCAAAATGAAGTGACAATAACTAATAATAGCTTTAGCTTTCGTCTTTACAGTGAATTTTTGTATTATTTGCAAGTTTCGAATATTATGTGATATTTGCAGCTACCCAAGCACTAATACGGTAGCTGAGATGACTTTGAGCTAGGCCACAATATAAGCTACGGAGCTCTGGAATATTCAACAATCTACTGAGATATCTGATATTGTATAGTACTGTGCGCAACTTTCTCATTATACACTCAATGTGGGCACCCCATCTGAGATGAGCATTAATATACCTATATTCCAAGACACTTTATTCTTTGCACGGATGTTATCCACAGTTATATTTGAAGCTTCATAAGTAGGCAAGTTGTTGGTGTAAGAACAAAAGTTAATAAAACTAGTTTAGCTGAAATTAATGTTCAGTCTCCGGCTATCACACCGTTGCTTGATTTTCACCAAATTTCGTTCCACAGGCAACTTTGTTTTATCCCTAAGTGGTGTCATAAAGAACTGCAGTATTGTCAGCAAAACTGTCTATACCTCTCTCCATTGACTGCCTCTAAAGGTCTGCCAAGTATATGTTTGAGAGTACAGGTCCAAGCACCGTACCTACTCTACACATTCACTCATCTTGCATATAATCATGACGCAAAAATATTTGCCATAATCGTTTATGCCTTTCTGATAAAACTATTCTAATTTCTTACTGCTACGTATTGAACTTTGATTTATACTGCCAGGCCTCCGCAAGGTGGACCCCACTTCCACATCAACAACCATCCCCGGGGCCTCTAGTTCCCTCGCAGGATACCAGCAGCAAATGCCGCATGCTGCAGCAGCCAGTGCCACGACAGTGGTGTTCGCCGAACGCGGCCGATGTTACACGAACAGACTGATGACAGTCGGTCCAGCTAATCCCAGTCCTTGGTACACACCACGTGTAATAGGCGGGCCTCAATGCACGCACTGCCCCGGACAATGCCAGGCGGTGCATCGCAGTGAAAGTAGTCCGTCAGCAGCATCGGCGTTACACGCACAACAGGTAAGCATATTTTTGTTTGTCTCTTTAATTTATGTGCCATATATGTGAAATCTGGAGCTTCGAGGAGTACCTCGAACGTCACGGCTTGATTAGCGACAGACAGTATGATTTCCGGAACCAGCGATCCACAGGGGACCTCCTAGCTTAAGTCACGCAATTGTGGAGTAAATTCATCCAATCTTATGGTGTGGCTCATGTCGTTGCTCTTTGTATCACGAAAGCATTTGATCAGCTGTGGCATGCTGCCCTCTTATGCATACTCGTACTTTGTGTGGCCTCGCAGAGAAGCTTGGGTGGCTTTGAAATTTGGGACCAACTATGCGCCAGGTAAAAATTGAAGTCTGAATCTCATTTATGCAACTTTTGCATAGTACGTTAATGCTCACAGCATGGTGAGTACTTAGTACTCATCTGAGTGACGATGTGTCATCTATGTGGTGGACCTCTTCGTTTAGCTTCTTAGAAGCGGATACCATCGTTCAGAGATGCCGGAGAACTGTGGTTTCCTGCTGCCTTACGTAGGAGTCGGTAATACCGCGACTGGCGAAGTACTCGTAGCTCGCAGGCCACTTATTTTTGACACAACACAGTACTATAATCAAATTCAAGCGGATAACCAAATGGATATGGTATTTACCATTTTGGGTTGGTATTTACCAATCCGTTCAAGCGAGTGTAGTTATCAGTTTGGTTATAAGATCCGTGACGTCACGAATCAGCTGATATATGTCATAGTTATCACCGCAAAATTGTGGTATTTACCCAACTCAAGAGTAGTTTTATATTTCTGGTTATTATTTGAAATGTGACAAGTTAGAATTTTGCCGGGTATTGGATATTGTTGTTGTACTTCAGCTTCATTTTTGAGAAAAATGATACAGGCTGACTTCAGTTTTACCATAAAGTGAAGCACCTTATTAGTTATACTCATTACGGTTGTTGGGGACACTTTAAATGTAGTTCCTATGCTTAACAAAGTATCCTATGTAGCCGTATACCACACAAGAATATTAAAATATGGCCATATAAACTCACTAGATGATATCCACCTGTATACGGTTTTGCTAATTTCTTTTTTCATCATTTCTGCTGAATCAATAAATGTTTTCTTTGACATGCGGAAAAATTTAGAGAATTGAAAGTTATCATAGCTACAAAGCCATGGTTCCGTCATTAAAAAAAAAATCTGAAAAAAACCTTTCTCCCATGAATATTATGAAAGGTTTCTTATTTAAACTTTCCATATACAGTTGTAGACGAAAAAGTACCGATTATTAAGTGATAATAAAAATAATCAGAGATTATATACGCGCTTCTCTAAAATAAACAACTTGCAACAAAACCGCGGTTAAAACCAACGCGTTCAAGCGATTCGAGCAACTGACGTCATCAATCCGTGTGTCATCTTGAACCATATTATAACCGCAGTACATAACACAGAAATTTTGGTTATTCGCTTGGATTTGATTACATATTCGCTTGTTTGGTTTCTGTTATCTGTCTCTAACCGACGTAGACTATATACCGTACTGATAGTACCATACTATATTGATTGCTAAAAAACAAGAACAAGGTTGTATGCGGTTGGTTTGTGATTGCAGACACGGAAAGCAAACAGATCTTATTCAGCCTCTATTTTTGATTATATTTTTCTAGACGAGTAACAGTGCGCCCAGAAGACAGAGACCTGTAAGTCAACCAATACCCGCGACCTATGATGGCGATGAAATTCTGCCAAGATCGCCATTACCAGAAATATCAGAATTTGCTCCCAACAGCACTCAATATGCTTCAAGTAGTAGTAAGTATCTAACAAGATTTAGAATTAGGTATCTGCCTCCCTTTACCTTTTAGGAATTGTACTTGGCTTATTTTTTTTGCTTTCTGCTGAACTTTCTAATTTGTCTCAACTGTATTCTCTGTTCCGTTCAACACCTACGAATGAACGTTTAACTGCAATAGCTAATAGTCGTTTACGAGCTGTTATTATCTTTACTCATCCATTTAGCTTAGACTGTAGCTCTAATAGTAGTGCTTACTTTAAGAGAGTGATAAGACGACTATATTTAACCAAAATGACCAATAAATCGAGATACAGGTGGACTGTACATGGTATGATGTCATGTAATTTTGATGTCACTACCTTCATTTTTGTACAAGTCAATTCGAAATTGAGTTCCTATTCTTCGAATTGAATCATAATGTTGATGATAAATAACTAATATGAATGTGTTTAGTTTTAGACGAAGTTGGTGGCAAAGAAGAACAAGTTGTGTCAGAACCAACGCTCAAAACACGCAGCTTACCTGCATGGGTCCGGTCCAAGCCGAGGCCTCTATCTACCGAAGATGATATAAATGATTTATACGCTAAGGTAAATTGCAATAACCACAATTTTATTATTTCCTTCAATGCCAATTAGTGTCCCTAAAATGGAACATTTTGTATACTGTACAATAGAGTAAGGACCATTTGTGTAATGACAAAATTAGCGGATTGACTTTTCCTGGTCGAATGCTGCAGGATTATTTTCAAAGTTTCTTGTAACCAACGCATTTTTGAGGAGCAACAAGTTTCTCAATAATGCAAATGGTTAAGAATGCTATTTGATATTTGTAATATTTCATTATATAAAACAAACCTGTTTTCAAAAACATGCTATTGCCTTTGTTTCAGGTGAATTTCAGCAAAAAGCGGAAAAATCGCATGCGCAACGACGAAGCGGCCATAATAGCTTTAAGCAAATCTCGAAGCCAGTTCCTGCATAAAGACACGGACTCCTTAGTGGACAATGAGGCGGTTATTGTGTATGATGAGCGCACTGCCTTATAAGTGATTTCCTAACAAATGATAGTGAGAATCTCAATACAGCGTGAACACGCTGATCGAAAATATATCGTAAGAATTTCTAGTCAAATAAGTACCTAATTTTCAGATAATGAATTACGCAAGTCTAATACTACACGATCTTGGTGACCGATAAGGATGACCACAGCAACATTTATTATTTATATGCCCAAGTCAAAAACAAGTTCACTATATACTGGTGTTTCGGGAAGTTGGGCATTTCAAAACGACTTATTACTTTAGCGATTTTCGAACAAAACGTTTCATTTTTTTTCTAAAATCACATTTAAAAAAATCTCGTGAATTCGCTTAGTTTACAAAACCGTATGAAATGACTACCTCCAGGTGAATGCAAGGCTTCAATTTTCCTCTCATAGACAACTGAACGCTTTCCAAAACACCAGATTACAGTCTCTGATATCGTCGGAGCGAGAAGCGATTTTTCGAAAATCTTTCGAGGACAAACTTCTTGTATAGAGCTCTAAGATTTTAAAAAACTTAGAAGAGCCATCAAGGATTTTTAAATAAACCATATTTTTCAATGGAACATATCTTTTGACGAATGCTACAAATATGGAACATTTCACAATATTGCATACTTGTCATACATAAAAGATCAATATTTTTTTGTATTTTTGATAAAGGGAGACCGAAATTTGTCTAAATTCTATACTTACGAGTATTATACGATATTTATGTCTGTTTAGAGGCAAATGTAACATATCGAAAAAATATAAAGACTTTTTGAGACAAATAAACTTCGTAATGATGTGCATATAATTTACTATTTCAGATGCATTTCAGAAAGATTAAGTGCATTTTTCTGTGATATAAAATCTAACATTAGAGAAAATTCATGCCAAGACCAGACGAAAAAAGATCAACTGTGTATTATAGTCTTTTATAATCTTTGCTCAGGCACACACATAGATTATTCCACATTTCAATGGCTTCACGTTTCACCATGTTAAATTTTTTGCAGCTAAAAATAAAATATGGGAACTGACAGACCGTTTTGAGTAACTTTCAATCTCTCGCAGACTGATGTAGATTTAACATCTTTGTAGATTGTGTTATAGAGGGTGCTCATTTAAAAACTTCCCACCACGGATTTATCGAAATCCACTGATTAAAAGAAAGAACGCCGACACGTCAAAAGATTTGTCTTTTAACCAAGAACTTATTTCACCCCCTTTCACCCTATGCCCCCCAGGGTCATTCCCTTAAAAATTTTAATTACAAAGGGTATCGAGTAATAGCTTGTTTGAAAGATCTTTCAAAGTAGTTTATTTTGACGTTTGATTTTTTAAAATCGGTCGATTCATTTTCAAAAAAATTAGAAAAAACTTTATTTATCTTAATTTGTTCGGATAGAAAACAAAAACACACGAAAATATTACTTTTTATTTCCAGTCCAGTGTCCAAAATGTTGCCCGTTATTAACAATGATATAAGCGATGTTCAAATTCCTGACGGATATTTACAAAAACATGTGGGATATCATGGCAGCTTTCGACGATGCGTTGACGAAGTTCATCCAAACTTTCAGATTGGGGAGTAAACACAATAGATTTCAACTGGCCCCATAGAAAAAAGTCTAATGACGTCAAATCAGGAGATCTAGCTGCCATCTTCGCCCTATCCCTTTATCTGGAAATTCGTCATCTAGCTATTGCCGAACCGGAAGAACATAGTGAGGAGGACCGCCTCTACAAGTATAGGGTATCCATCCTCTTCGATTTGGTTTTCAACGGTTTCAGTGATAAGCAGATTGATGGTATTTTCCAACATATCCAAATAAATGTCTCCATTCAAATTTCCATTAGCAAAAAATGGACCAATCACTTTGTTTCCTAAAATGCCTGACCATACGTTAATTTTTTGGAGGTACTGGGTATACGCTTCTACAAAAGCATGAGGATTTTCATTGCTCCAATACCTGCAGTTATTTATGCTTATTAACAAATCCATTTAGATAAAATGTGCATTCATCACTAAAGCAGATATGCTTTACATGAATGGTATTATCATTAATCGCTGCAGTCATTTGTTCACAAACTCAACTCGCCTATCGAAATCATCTTCGGTTAACTCTTGCAATATTTTCATTTTGAATGAATGACCCTGAGGGGCAGAGGGTGACGTACTTTTTGATTAAAAAGTTGTCCCCCTTGACAAAACTTTTGACGTGTCTCGGTGTTTTTTCTTTTAATCAGTGGTTTTCGATAAACCCGTGGTGGGAAGTTTTCAAATGAACTCTGTATATCACCGAATTTATAAATACGAATCTGTAAGTATGATAAATTAATTGATATTTCAAATAGACAACAGAAAGTTCTGTGATATCTATATGAAGTACGGCAGAAACTCGAATGGGACTATATCACTTTGTAGAAAATTTCGAATGTTTATACTTGTACAAAGCTGGCGAAAAATATTTTTTATCTGCCGTTCCTACTAGCTCAATGACCTAAATATCAAAGGTCCTGACTGCAGATGCTATATCAAATCTATAGCGGAGGACAACAGATAGTAAAATTTCGATGCCAGCTCAGTAGACCAAAGATAATAGTGATTATTGTTAATATCTCTAATAGAATAGCTGTTATAATATTGTGTAACCTTCAAATCATGTTGATCTGAAGATGAGAGCCTGTTTTAAAATGACTGAGTGAATACTGGTTATATTTTTATTTGGTGTTGGTAACATGGTAAGAGCATAACATACATCTGAAGTGGTCAAATCCAAAACAAAGCAAAACATAACACCAACTAGCATTAAAATATTTGGGACATTATACTCTTTTCCGATATTTTGAAAGAGGCTCTTATCGAACTGAAATAACCCTTTTAGATAGAACTCGCTCTTATTCAAATGTCAGAACGTTTCATTTATCTACATTTGAAAGTTTCTGTTAAAATTGCAATTGAAAGGAACATATGATTCTCTGACTACTGGATATTTTGAACTATTACCAAAATTGGAACTATAGGTTGTATACTGGGCAGCTTCCGGAAGAAGTTGTGTATGCAAAAAAGTAGGTATTATTGTATTTTTCTCTAGTGATATTATCGGAGAACACACTGAATATTAGTTTGTTCTATTTTTCACAACTCTTATCCTTAGCTGTTTCAAAATGATACTCAACTATTTCCAGCGCCTGAAGTCAAAATATACAATAAAAACCAAATTTGTCTGAGAGACCAGAGTTCAATGTGTACGAGAGAGAAGTGTGTATGGACACATATGTTGAAAAGAGATAGGAGCCAGCTGGATAGTGAATCTCATCTCCGCGTTGCCTAGCAACCCTGTCGGAGCAATCTGCCGCTTTGTATGTTACAACAGTTCCGTGAATTAAGATGCATGTTGAAAATATGCGTTAGTTCATTCTCTACATCCAAATAATGGTTTTATTTTGAGCGTGAATTGCGAATTATGTCGAATCCGTTTAGGGTCGATTCCGGATCGGTCCGAATGGCGATTCATTTTAAGTCGAAATGAAAGGTCAAGATCGCCACAAAGTCTGCAACATTGCATTATTGGTTCGTTTGATAACATGGCATCTTGTACATTTCAAGGCAAGGTTTCCACCCCCATCATCATAGTTGAACGATTTTGGTCAGTACCCATCTAGCGCTCTTATGGGAATGTCGTCCTGTTTTGAAATGGTTTTCACCTGCATACAAGCAAGCAGTGATAACTTATATTGCGTAATAGCATTTGTTACATTTTCGACCGCTCGCTGTCGCGAAATGTAAAAATAACTCAGGATGTGTTGATTTCATCACGATTGGTGGAAAACAAAGATAATTCCAAAATAAATTAAAGGTCGCATCAAAATTGAAATAAATAATTATAACCAAAATGAAAACAAATTAAATGTTCGAACAGACCTCCTTCTTGAATATTTGACAGTTAACTAACCTAGTGTAGAAGCATGTGCGAACATATTGGCAACGCGGCAGATTGCAAGACCTTCTGCGTCACCGTTGCTAGGCAATGTGGTCATATCTTCGTTCTCTAGTCGGCTTCTGTCTCTTTCTAGCATATGTTGATACACACTTTTCGCGCTTCTTTCTCGCACATATTGAACTCAAGCCTTCAGACAAATTTGGTTGTCCATGTATGCAGAAGTGCTGTATTTATTGTTTTACAGAAAATAATTTCATACAGCAAACATTCATTCAATCTAGCGGATTCGCACTGGCAATAGCATTGGATGATATGTTACCAAAAACCCCGTAGATGTCGAGCTGCTTCATATTTAAAGAAGTGTCATTTCCCCCTTCTTCTTGTGATTTTGAGAACTTCTGCAAGGTGGAGTAAATAAATAAAGTAGAATTTCGCATTGTTTTGTGGAAAAGTATTGCTAATCTTAATTGAAACATACAAACTAGGGACCTAAAAACATAGGCAGAATCAGCTGGGAGTGTACTTCCTAGGTTTTGTAAAGAACGTTACAGTGGATCAATTGTATTGCGACGGAGCCCACTGTCTTCAGGTTAAATAATGGCAACAATGTCCAGTTTGGTCCAGCTAGGCGGCGCTTGTGTGGTTGCGAGTCAAATTGTCAAAACCAGCTGGGAAAAAGACATATTTGATAGAAAAGTAACTAATTCTCCACGATTTTGGTGACACTACGTTTAGGTGGTACAAGCTGTCGGAACTCTACCACAGGTGTGCTAACGGAACACTGCGTCGAGTATTGCACTTTTTTCCGTCGGGCTGATTAAAAGCCGTGTCTTTTTGATGCTCATTTATTCACGCTATTTGTGTCGCGTAACAACATCACTCATGTTCAACCTTGACATAAATGAGCAAATGTAACATTTCGTATTGATAATTCTTCCTCTTATGCATACAAAGATGTGGTTTCGCTTAACGGAATTTTTGATAAATGAGGGCTTGGAGACCATTTGAGTCAAAGTTACAGGACATCTGCAAGCAGCGTCTGACGATAGTACACACAAAAGCTAAAAAAAGACTGATATATCAAAACCTATCAGTATGTGATGCCTATGGCAGAGTCCTCTTTTACGTGCAATATAAGAAAATCTTGGGTTTTTTGCTGTTTCAATCAGAGATAGAAACACTATAAACAAGCGATATGCTATCAACTAGTCAGGGTTTGCTGTTTATCTCAGAGTAAATGATAATTAATTAAAACTATTGTACATCATACTCTTTTTTATGGTTCATCTAAATATACGATAAAACATAGTGTTCAATTTGGAACAAAATGTAGTATGTTGTTTAGTGATATAAATTACTCCATCGAATGTTATTTTAAAATCCATGTTCAACTATTTTACGAAGTAATTAAAAAAGCAATACGAACACATCAGAGTAACACCTTGCAGATGTTAAAAAATACACCTTTCCATCTACCAACTTTTGTAATTCTGGTGTCATATTACTGTAAGCTGCTCAGCAAAAATATGAATAAATACACTACCGCAAATGAAAGAGTTTCATTCAATCATACTCATATTCGTCTTATAGATTTATTTCAAATAAATACAAAATAATATATATTATCATTGGAAAATGTGTATAAATATGTACGCCGCAACAAATTATTTACAAATATGTACATATAATATTTAACGATTTCCATACAATTTCGTACTTGAAATACTTTTGAAGGCCATGATATACCAAGCATACATTTTACTTAATCCATGTATATATCTTTAATCTTAAAGCTATGATCACTTAAAATTTTTGGAAGATGAGCTATGCACAACAAAACTTTGAAAATACTAGTCCTTTAGTGCTTAATTTGAAGCTTATGGTTCCTACAGTCTGAATGTATATTTTTTCATGGCTTGTCCTGGGTTATGAAGGGTTATCGCTGTTTACGTACAAAAAACCAGCGGTTGTCGAAAGCATGAATAATTATCGTTTTTTCTGACAGGGATTTTCATTTTTAAAATGCTTTCATTACAACCCAGGTACTTATAAATTAATCAATCATAAAAGAGTGCGTATAGATTGCGTATATCTTTAGCGGATCAAGTTAGCAAGCTGAAATTCTGGGTGATGGAATTGATGCATACTATATTCTGGCATAGAAAATGCGTTGTTTGATTCAGCTAGACAATGGGATACAGTTGAAAATTTCGAAATGGCTGCTGGGCGTCATCTTGTTACATTTGGCATAAGGGGTCATGTTATTTTGAAAATCCTTATGAGTGCTTTATATCCTTAGAATATAAATGAAGTATTACATAACCAACCTTTCCATTTGGGAAAATACTCCAAAATGGAACTTTTTTTAAGTGGAATACAAGGCGAGATCATCAAATTATAGTATGTTATATCTTCATCTATTGGAAAAGTTTATCCGGATATATAATAGAATATAAACATATCATTAAAAAATCTGCAGGCTGTCAATTTTTTTAAATTTAGACGTTTGATTATGGAAGATTCATTTTTTGAGGGGTTTTCTTAACCTGACGCTTTAATTTATTCATTCACTCATTCAGATAGATGGTTAGTTGTTGAGTTATGAGCGAATCAATAAACAAAAATGCTCACGTTTGACATTCGGCCACTTTAACGATTTTTTCGCGAGATCCCGTAGTGAACGTAGCGGGGACAGATGGAATTTACGCCCCCGTTTTGACAGTTTCAAGTTCGGGAGTGGTTAGATGGCGCAAGTTTTTTGTGCAATGCCTATATCAATGAAATCAGCCGTTTGATATGACGAATGCGGTTCCTGTATTTACAATGACCGCATAGTCTCCTTGATCATTTAAAATCAGGTGGACCTGTCCATCTATTTTCTTGATTTATGATTTAATCATCAATTTTCGGCACTGCGAAGACAAATTTTCAATTCAAATGTCTGTTTTTAAACGACATTGACATAAGACCTGCCACCAGCTAGTACCTCACCTACGTTAGGCGGTTAACCGTACTACGTGATTTTTTAACATTTGGATGACGTCACACCCTGAATTGTATCTTGCTAACTTGACCCATACACACAATAAATCGCGAGGTACCTTTTTAAAAAGCACTGTATGACTATTGGTTGTGCTGAGAATTATAGGCAGGCTAGATGCTCTAATTGAAATGTGTGTATAATACACGTATTTCATAGAAGAACGGAAGATGTGTCAAAATGATAACTATTCTAAGTCTTTTCGAAAAGTTATATCTCAATTTTAACTTTTATCTGTAGGAACCTTCTTGAATATATGTATGCTAATTGACTAGCCAAACAAATCAGTCATATAATTATGGTACAATCTCCTTTAACAAGATCCGTCAGAGAAAACGACATCAATATCACAAGATTTTATTCGTTTGCTAGAGTTTCAACACCAAAATGTTCTCAATCACGGAAATACTGTACAATTGCTCCATTTTCTTGACAAAACAAGGTTGATGATATCTTCTCGAAGCTCTACTGAACTCTGTCACTCACGAACTTCCTGCAAGTTTTCACTATTTTCTGACGGTCCCTGTATACATCCAAGACAAAGATCATGTTTTACTGAATTCCACTAACCTTAGCAACCATGACATGAACCCTTTATCTGTACATCTAAGTATCCCAGAATGTGTAAGTACTCCATAGCATCCATCAACTGGTCACGTTTTTCGATTTTGTATTGCCGGGATATTTTGGTTTGCTGCCGAACCAGGATTTTCTCCATTCCAAAGTATCCTACATAAAAAATAATGTTATACAATAACCGAATTAAGACAATGGTGTGTACATAACTTGCAGAGTCATTGAGATCCCGTATTTAATGTATACAAGAGAAACATGTATGTTAGAACGAGAGCATAAATGAAGCATGCCTGACACCAAGGACAACGAGTCTATGTCGAAGGCTTCCTTTTGTCACGTACTGCCAACTAGGGAAACCGTTGTGGCCAAGTGTCTCTGATTCTTAAATGGAAGCGACCCGTAAGCGAAGTCGTATAAAAATCCAGTACAACAGAATCCTTATATAGCAGTATGGCACATTGGCATGCTGAGTAGCTGATATTACTAAAAGTATACTGAGCTTGAAAGGCAGTGACACGCAGATGAAGAATAACAAAACACACGCCTGTGACAAAAACTGTTTACTGACGATTCTTAATATGATATTCTGCCTTTTTTACCAATATAATAACAGTAAATGAGACTATCAAAAAAATGAGTGTCTCAAATTTCTATTAAGTTGCTAGCTTATCGGCACTGCTTTGCACCAGACGTGAATCATAACCAGAAATAGAAAAAGGTATAAATAAACAGGTAACGTGACGTTGAAGTATTATTTTATTATTATTATTATTATTTTAAGGTGACTGTAAATTTCATAATATACTGAAGTAGATTCCAGGGTGTAGATTCTAATATATACACTAATTTTTCTCTGATACGAAATTGCGTACTCGTACTCCTACATCCAAAGAATGATTAGTTTCAGTAAATATGAGTTTGAAAACTTTGTTGTTGCATTTGGTTGCAATTATAAAAACAGCAGTACAAATATCATAATCGTCAAAGTAACAAAAACAGACTAATATAGTGAGTAATGCAGAGATCGAAAAGGTGTAGGATCACTATAGTTGTCTTAACATATAGCAGTGAGTAAAGTCTGTAGCCGTGGCATGTAACCTTGGTTCTTGCTTCAACATGTGTGTTTCTCTCTCTATCGCTTTCGTACACATTAAAAAATACAGGACATCAACGATTCTCTGCCGATCCTGAATATGGTCTGCAGATTATTCAACTTGCATTTCGTAAGTGATATTTCCATGTAATACTAAATGACATAGAAAATGCAACACCGACTAGGAGTGCTGTAATTTTGAGTATACTTTTACAAGTTTTATTTCTACTGATAAATAGATAGTGATTAAAATTTTAACTCGACATTTCGCAAAACAGCTGAGACATTCCACGTTAATGTTAATAGTGTGTTCCTCTGTTCGCTTCACATTCGTTAAGTCGTAGCGTCATTGATTGGATTAGGTGATTGATGTCTTCTTGGTGTATTGTATCCCAGGCCATCTGAATTTGGTTTCGTAGAGGCTCCAATGTTCGTGAATTTTGCAACCTTCTTCCCATCATGTTCGATGGAGGAAAGGTCTGGGAATCGAGGAGGCTACTAAAGCAGATTTACTCCGGACGCTTCTAAAAAGTCTAAACTAACACGTGCGACATGAGGTCGTGCATGAATGAACACTAATCGTGACCTGCTGCCGTAAGCAATGGCACCCCATACCACACCCACAGTGTGATGAATATGCCAGTCGATGGAATATTGGACGTTCCGTCTTTCACCACGTCTCCTCCTTACTCTTGCACGGCCATCGTGGGTGCCCAACCAGAATTTGGACTCATCGCTGAACACGACTGAGTTCCATTCCATATTCCACTCAAGTCTGTCCCTAATGCATACCAATCGTTGCCGACGATGCTGTAGGGTCAGAGGTAGTAAAGATATATATAGATATAAAGATATTCGGCCTGACTCTCTGTAGTCTGTCTTTGACACCCAGTACCTCTAACTCGTCGATTTCGGCGTTCTTCGAACCACGCTCGACAACATCTCATTACAGTAGCTTCGTTTCGATTCACCCGATTAGCGATTTCTCTAAAAGAAAATCCAGCTTCACGAAACCCGATTATCCGACCCCTGTCAAACTCGGAAAGTTGAGTGAAATTAGCGCGTCTGTGAAGTCTAGGCATGATACTGCAATGAAACAAAAGGAACCAACACGAGAAAATCACTGAATAAACATGTTCATATTGTTCGGATACTGATATGACAAAAAAAGCCTTTGCAAAAGAAGTAGGGCTTGGAATGCCTTCAACATTTTATCAGCGTATACTTCCATGATAGCAAATATGTTTACAAGTTTTTATCAAAGTTCAATAAATAATTCTGGGTATTGCATTTTATATGTCACTTAGTATATTATGCCGGGTAATTTTTAAATGCAATTATGCAAGCTCTTCAGTGTGCGATTTACACAAATTTGCTTTAGCTGGCCATACACATACATTTTCTCGCGGGGATTAGCCGGTGACGTCATAGCCAGTATAAACAAACTATTTTGTGTTAGTGGGCGTTGACATATGCCATGATAAAACGGAAAGGGATTTTAGACGTTATTTTGTCTACTTATGACAAGAGCCGCGCCACATTTCACGCCAGATGTAATCAATGCTACTTGATAATAAATGCCATTTAAAATGTTATACCGTTTTTGACCACACACATAAGCAATTTCCTTTCGGATTGGAGAGTCGCGCGCAGTCATGTGGGAAATCATCTGGAAACATTATGCTAGTGTAAAGGCAAAGACGTTTTCTTCACCGAGCCTTATTCCTTTTCCGCGCTCCATCCGCCACGTTCCACGTGCCACGATTTTCCGCGCGAAAGAACGTGTTTCTATGGCCAGCATTTTTATTTCAAACATATCGGCAAAGCACACCTTAAAGCATCAAACTTCTGTTTTGATTAAAATTTAGGATGAACAATACTCACTTATATGGGTAAGGAAGTATCAATACTAAGACTGTATGGTCAGTATGATTGATCTACTGTTAGTATTGCGATAAGGAAAGCAAGACGAAAGATTGTACCTTGAGCGCCTAAGTTAATAGTAGTAGTTAATTACCTGTATTAGTTTCTCCTCCTCAGACGTAAACTTTAGCAAAGTTGATATGGCCTTAATAAGATGTTGGGCCTCATACTCCCTGCTGGTCAAAAATTTCAGCACAACGTGCTTCAGGTACTTAAAGTTGACATCCTCGTCGTCTCTTTTAACTATGTTTGGTAATGTTCGCGTTGAAATCTGTGAAATCATGTTTTATGTTCAATTGATATCAATTTATTAGCGTTGCTAGCTACATTCCGTCATTGATTACCATATTTCACCAGAATATATCCAACCTGATTGAAAACGTTGGCGTCCTGCCCGGAAATAAGCCTTGGTGCCGTGGCGACGCTGTAAAATTAGTTATGCGCAGTTTTTGCAGCATCCCTTCTTTTCAACTTTACCATCGTTTTCGGGCATGCCGGAATGCCGTTTGAACTGCTTTGAAAATGTTCTCTCGCCAAACATTTAAGGATAGGTTATTTCCATATTAATTTTTACACTCACGATGTGATCCACATTGATCAGTATTTTAATGTCTGGCCAGTACGTTATTAATGTTGGTCAATAATTATAATCAGTGGTTTTTCTCCATTTTTTTTGATGAATGTATCAAAAGAGGATTTTAACGTTGTAAGTAGTTTTTCAATGGCATTGTAATTGATTTAAACTGTCATACAATGTTCTTTGTAGTGCGTCCTGCTAAAGGAAGCATTTTCGTAATCGTGCCGTGAACAAAGTTCTTTGGCTTGAATTCTGACTGCAATCTCAACTTCTGCACTCAATTATAATGCCTGCCGACCGCCAGTTTAGGCTTGTGAGTTGCCACTTCTCGGACTGTTGTTGCAGATTATGGAGTTTTTATTTCCGTCGGTAAGAAATTCTGATAATTCAGTATCTTTACATCTGCTCCGATTCCCATTTTAATTCACAAAAATCCTAAAAATTGTATTCCTCGCTCCAGTCATAGTGTTTTTTAGGCCATTCTGAACAAAAAAGTTACTCTGGATGATAATAGTTTTCGAAATATATGCGATTTACTAAATAAAATGGCATTTTCCACCCCGAAAAACAAATATGAATAACGAAATTTCTTGTTGTACCAAGGACCCCAAATATTCTTCAAATATCCATGAATAACATGCCAAAGCATTTTAGGGCATATCCTGATTGTAATCCTTTGTTTTTTATTGTTAATTAAGCGCATGCTCAACGTATAGCTTAGAGTGAGACTGCTCTCGCGAAGTCATTGAGCGCGTTTGATAAAAAAATAAAAAACAAAAGTATTTAATAGAAATACTCCCAGCAAATGACATACTATGTGTTTTGATGTTATATGACAAGTACATCACAAAAAATCATGTCACACTCATTTCCGTCAGTCTGTCTATTCGTCCACTACTCTTTGGCCCGTCTTATATTGCCCGAATTTCGATTAAATTTCCACACAATGTTACTACCATGCTAAGGATGGAACAGCTTTGTAGTTTTTAAAAAGATCGACCAAATTTCAATTTTTGGGAGTACGTCAGTTTTTTGCGCTAGCAACCCCAGGAATTCTACGCACCTATTATACATATACTAAGTGACATATAAATCCGAACACACAGTTTAAATAGTTTTATTTTAATAAAATTTTGTATAAGTACTTAATGAAGCATAATAAGTAAATGATAAAAATTTCAAAATGATTGCACTGCTTTAAAGCCCTTTGACCTTTAATAATGTGTGGATGCACCCTGATGTGCTACGCATTCTCCAACGCGCCTAGGCATGCTTCTGATCAGGTGGTCAATGTCCTCCTGTGGTATCTCATTCCAGGCAACCACCAACTCCTCTCGAAGTGCTTCTAGAGTCTGAGGAGGACGTTGCAAATTGAGCAATCTCCTACCCATCATATCCCACACGTGCTCAATTGGGGATAAGTCGGGAGATCTTGGTGGCCATGGTAACAATGTGACATCATTATGTTGAAAGAAGTCTATTGTGACTCTTGCAACATGTGGTCGGGCACTATCTTGTTGGAAAGTTGGATCTGCCAGGGTGTCAAGATAGGGTAAAAGATGGGGTTCTAGAACTTCGTGGATATAACGCTGCGCGTTTATGTTACCTCTGATGAAGATTAAAGGTGACCTGGAACCATAAGCTATAGCACCCCAAACCATAACTCCAACAGTGTGATGAACATGTCTTTCAACAAAAAACTGTGGATTCCTCCTTTCACCACGTCGCCTTCTAACCCTGGCACGATCATCGTGCATGCCTAAACAAAATCGAGACTCGTCACTAAAGACAATACTGTTCCATTCCTGATCCCAGAGTGACCGTTGTCTGTACCACTCAAGGCGATTACGTCGGTGTTCTCGAGCTAAAGGGAGGACCCATGGTGGCCGGTATGAAGACAAGCCAAAACTTCTCATTCGTCGGTAAACACTTGGCATGCTAATAGGTCTTCCGTGTTCTGCAAACCATTCATTTGCAATGGACCTGGTAGTGGAGAAACGGTCCCTTAAGGCCAATAATCTTAGGCGGCGATCTTCACGGTCTGTTGTTCTACGGCGGCGTCCAGTGCCCCTTGCTCTTTGCGTACGGCCTTCTCGAAGCCATGCCTGACAACACCTAACCACAGTGTCTACACTTCTTTGCACTCTAACTGCAATTGCCCGAAAAGAAAGTCCAGCTTCCCGAAGTCCCACTATACGGCCCCTATCAAACTCACTAAGTTGACGAAACCGTACAGGTCTCCGTACTCTATCGTAACCGATCGTAAAGGATGTCAAGAACCAAAATCCGCCAACATTGATTCTTTACTGCGGCTGAAATATTCATTTTTAGAGCGTTAGTGAATTAAAAAAAAGCAGTATAAAAACCGGAATGTCCAACTGATAAGGATGAAAATTTTTTCACTTGTTATTTACAGTAAGATAAATACATTCACCAACTTTTATTAAAATAAAACCATTTAAACTGGGTGTTCGGATTTATATGTCACTTAGTATATTTCATACATCATAGATTTTCCCTCACATTTGTCCTTAAAACGTAAACTTTAGAGAGACGTTCATATAAGAGCATTTTTTCTTCAGAATGATCCAAAACCTGATAAAAAGATTACCGGAGCGAAAAAACAAAGTCTTGGAATTTGTTGAAAACATTTAAACAATTTTTGACGCAATTTAAATTTATAAAATCATGCAAAAAAATCCGAATCAGAATATTTTTCCGAACAGATGCGATTATGAGAATACGAAATCCTAGGAATGACTATGATTGGGGGTTGAGGGGTAATCTTTCCTTGGAAGGTTGTTGCCCTGTTTGAAAATAAGCAAGATTCTTTAAAGGGGAAAGTGATGTAGATTTTTATTACTGCTAAGGAAATCACTGCGACTTTACTTAGCAACCTGGCTGCGATAATTGAAATTATAAATGAATGTCTGAATATAGCATATAGTTGGATATTTCCTTGGAGGACGTGTTAAGCAATTGGAACAGGCTCGCAATCGGAAAGCAACCTCCTGGATCTACCAGACTCACAAGATGATAAATGACTGATATCATCACCAATAACATATTACCTGTGTAGGTGTCAATATCGCTGCAGTATTATTCTCCAACAGATCACTGTGATAGCTTGGATTGCCAGGTGTTCTCAGTTCTTGCTGAAGTGTCTTCTTCATATCTGCTAATCGTAACTGCAACATTTTTATAGTCTAAAACAAAGGTGAAAATCAGAGACATATTCTTATATATTTACCATACCGAGAACATGCAATGTGTGCATTATTTAAATAACGATTTACAATAATAGCAACCCAATAAACATGATGACGCAATATGACGTCATTATTCAGTCACTTTTCATGGGAAACATAATTGACTGAAAAATGACGTCCTACCAGTTTGACGTCTTTTTTAGTACAGTCAGTACTGAAAAATCAACACTTACCTACAAAGAAAATATATTAATAGTAAGGTAAACTAGATATCCAAATACCAATACATACTTTATTGTTATTTATAAAAAAGTATCTAGAATTCTTCGACCAAAAATATATGATATATGAATATGACTTTTCTAATAATAATGTTCCATGTTCAGATATTTCAATTCGTCATTTACATCATGTTTTATTTCCGTAAATAACAAATTTATTAGAAACTCATCTGTATAACAATAAACAAGTGTTACTAGAATATTAATTTGTAATCAAGCGCGGTAGAAATTCAAATTTTGGAACAGTATATCATTCAACCGATCATCAGCGAAGAAGCACCATTGTGCTTGGTGCTGGGGTCGACCGATGTCCAAGCTTCATGCGTGTTCGCCGTTTGGCAATGGTTCAGGTAATTTGTTTTATAAATTTATGAGTTTTACCGACATCACGATGGCTTCGTCGTCTTTAACGTACTTGTGGCACAATTTAGTAGGGACGATAGTACTGCCGCATAGTCAAAATAATGCTTGGGCGACACCCAGGAAGTGTTTTGGAATGCTGTGCGATTCTGACACTGCTACAAACAAAATCTGTTCAAGAGTGGTAGGTAAGTAGAATATGAGTTTCGGCATATTTCTACCACTCCTGAACTCACTGTTTATGGGGCGTGGAGGCGGCGTTGTCACATCGTCAATTTTTCAGAAGCATTTGGATACACCGCGAGATTATTTCTGCAAGCGACTGTACGTCATATCGACGTTACATACACGTCATATCGAGCTAAGATACACGTCATATCCACGTCATACATTCATCATATCGACTTTGTATTTGGTCTTTTATACGACATACTATGACGTCATATAATGACGCCAATAGGGTGTGATATTAGACCATCATAATGATGGCCTTTCTACGTCTTTTTTGTTGGTCGGCTACAGGCAGACTATACTGAGGTCCAACAGTTTGGATGCCCACAATATTAAGGAGCTTGGCTCAGGGCTATACCCAACTTCGCTAGAAGGGCGGAACTTGCGGCTTAGGGAATGTTGTGGTGCATAAGGGCCGGCTACTCATGGTAGACAGTATGCCTCTAATTTCATTCATACATTAATGGGAGAGAAAATGTAAAAATATATGCTAGCGCAGCAATCTAAATGAGATTTATGGTCTTTTCATGGGCTGAATTTCTATGGAACAAGCAAACAGTAAAAGGCTTATAGATGTCATTATTCTTACTTTATTCTTTTCGGAAATCTGCTCCTCTAACTCGTTTATATTATTCATTAGCTTCTGCTGAAGCGAAACTCCTTGTTTTAGTTTTGCATTTTCCTCTTCAAGCTGCGTTAACTTATTCATAAGTTCATTCGTTTCTCGTTCTTGTCGTCTCATATCTTGCTTTATCAATTCTATCTGTTGCGATACCTCAGCATTCCGTACAAGAGCACTATTCTTTTCAGACGTTACTCTAAAAATCGACAAGAAATCTGGTATGAGCTTCAAATAACAGGTATTTAAAAGATAATTGGTTTTCACTCAAAAAATCAATTTGCGGTAAAAATAGTACATACATTTTTCGTGATACTTCATTAAGTTTTGACGTCATCTTTGTATTGTATGTACTGTTGGCAATAATTAATCTTGAAACAAAGGACCGTATATAGAACTGTTTATACTGAACAGTGATCCTCACATACCCGACTCGAAATATACTCATGATGATAACCAGCTATACTATCATTTTTGATGTGTGCGTCAGAATATTTCCACATAGAAGTGTTGTTAGTAAGTATGATTCCGTAGCATAACAGACAAAAAATACAACAAAATACGACCACAGATTATAACGCGACTCTGTGTAAAGATCTGGGATTGTCAGATGCGTCATAATTGTGTCACCTCGGATATGGGGTATTTTGAATGTTACTAGATAAATCAGCTGTTACTGGTGACATGTGTGACGTAATGAGGCATCGTGAGGTCAACGTTACACCATCAGTGTTTACTGTGGTCCGCACCATCGCTATTTGGTGATTATTCCGTCAGTGTCAGTAAATTTCTTCGTTACAGTAAATGCTGATCGTGTGACATTCGTCTCAAAAATACTGTAATGGCTACATTCACTAGCACTCAGTAAATAAATCTTAGCGCTGTCTGGAATATGTTTCACCTCTGTAGCTGAATGTCACCTAAAGGACTGACAATCAATGAACATTGAACATAGCCTGCTAAAGCATACTCCAGACAGCGCTAAGTTTAGCGCTAAATGAATGAAAAATAGTCAATATTTATATTGGAATATTTCTAACTAACCAGTAAAAAATTAGTGTATTCATTCCGGCCCAAACTCTAGACGCGTTCATCGGTAATGCTACTAAAACTATTTACTACGTTTCCACGTTCACTGCCGTTACCCTAAACATCAGTAAAGTTATTCTTTCATTATAGCATGTATAAACGGAGTTATGCTAGAGTTTCGGTAACGTTACAGTGGTCCGCAGCATGCTTTGTAGAGTACATCTCTGAGAAGATTTGACAGAAAGAAAATTGGTTGAGTAGCAGAGTAGCAAGATCGCACTTAATGATTGTGTGTATTGGTCTGCATTTGTGTAAAATCAGTAATATTTGCTATGTGAAAAAATTACTACTGAATATACTGCCTATGAAGTATATCTACTTGCTGTATCAGACGTTTTTTTACGTTTTCAAAAACTTTCCGAAATCACCCTCGCGTCAGCGTTGTGTCTATTTGAGCTACATCACATAAAAATTAGGAATGACGGATCACTAATTGAAATTAAAAAATAATAAATAATAAAATGATGTAAAATGTAATAAACTTTTTACGTTTCATAAGTATTCCTTTCTGTAGCCTATTTTCTCACCTGTTAGCTGTAAAATACCTCACCAACCAGGGATTTTCTTTTATATCTCTCATTTTTAAAATCAGCAAATTTGTATATATAACTGTATTTGAGAAAAGAAACCAAGGCAATTATCATCAAAAAATTATTAGCACACAAATCCTCATAAGCACCTATGTACTGCCGTTTCGCCTGTTTCCTTCCATATATAGTATACAACTTACAACTTAGACCTCCAATAATGCCATCTCTGAAGCAGATTTTACATTACATCCGAGCCAAACCATGATAGCTCAAGCGTCATGACGTTTATGCAACAAGTGAGTGCACATCAAGAAAACAACACCTAGTTCCAAGTTGACATCTTATATGAAAACCTACCCACTCAATGTCACAAAAAACCTATATACAAATAATGTCAAAAAACCGACATGTCACTTTTCAATATACGTAATACCCCTATCATTCTGACAAATACGACCACAGTTTATGAAACTTCTGAATCTCACAAAATTTCGATAATTTTACCTACCTAGTTAAAGTTTTCTGTACATTCAAAGAATTTTCCCTTTCTTCCTCTAATTCTTTCTCGAATTTCGCAATCATTTCTCTCAATGAATCACTTGTCTGATGCTCGGAGTCTACAGATAATTTCAATTTGCTACACTCATCTGATGTTTTATCTAATTCTGATTCAGCATTGTCCAGGTTCTTCCTTACAATTTTTAGCTCTGTTTTAGCATTATCCTTAAATTATATAGTTTATTAGGCAAAACTCAGTAAACAATCAACTATTATAAATAATATGAATTAGAAAAAGTAAAAGGCGGTATTTAACTGTTCATGAACTGTGGAGACATCTATAAAATAAGAGATAGATTGTTTTTCTCCAAAACTGTTGTGTAGAAGCTTCTGGGGCGTTGAAGCATTATTTCACCCATCAACAACCACATTTCGCATTTTAGATGCGAATTATCAACATTCAGTAAATGTATCTCTTATCAGTGGAACTTTATAGATGTTAGGTTCTGGGCTGATTAAATTTAATTAAATTAATCCACTATTTACAAAAAAAAATACTAAATTAGTGTAAGCAAATCTCGATTTCGGTTAAAGTAAATAAATAAAAGCCCCAGTGTCAACGTCAATCAAGACACCAATAGGAAAGGCATTTTGACGCATGAGTATTTTAAAGCTCACCCAGAACATAAAAACTCGATTAATAGAAATATGCATTAAAAAGATGAGTTTATACGTATCAAACTGAGGCCAAACATTTAAAGGACGCACCCACCATGCAACAAGTATATTAGAAAGAGTACTCAGTAAGTTTCCTGACTGTCGTTGGCTGGCAACGTGGAAGTTACTTGTGGGCACACCGTTTCTAGATCTTTCTGACAAAACAGATTGAAATCTGTCCGACGTGAACCGTGAATGAGTCGCACGGTATAGGTCTTTTCACGGATGTTGGACGTTGCGTATCAATGGTATTGTGTAAGTGCTTATATAGCCTCATACCACCGTAGTTCTATCCGCGAATGTTGTTCTGTGACCATTTACACAGTGTGCTATAATATAAGTGCTTGGCTACCTGCTGTTTTTAAGCAAAAACTGTCGGCATTCTCCACTGTAATCTGTAATAGTTGTTAAACCTGCTGCTTTGGTTCATCCGACCAAAATACAGCCAACCATGGACAGCTGTTTCATGCTTCTTGGCTACTTCATCAGCATGGTCTAGACTCGGTCTCTCGTCTTTGGACGAACCAACGAAAACATCGCAACTATCCCCTATCCCGGAGGTACGGTCTATCGAAATAAGTCAGCGCAAAGCTCCATCTATCACACCGACATCAACCACTTAAAATAGTTGTATTTTCAAGAATTGCATTATTATCGCGGCAGCTTACATTGCATTCGCAATACATGACAAGAAGATGGGTTCGAAGCGTCAAAAACTATAGCGGGACTCGAAAAATGTTGCCCGTTTAAAATTGCCATTTTTGGTACAAATGCCTCTACCCTGCCAGCCGCGTATTATACTGATCCGCAGTGGATGAACGGCATACATCGGACCATCGCAATTTGAATAGAATATCTCAAAAGGGCAATTATTAGCCTTGATACCAATGTGTACCGATGATGTCACACGGATTGCCGATCAGTGGACGAACCACTATCGACGAACTAGAAAATTTTATTTTGCAATGCTGTTCAGTAACTTTTAGCCGTTAACGTAGGACATTTCATTGATTCGATCAGTAGACCCAGAGACTACAAGAATTGTCGAAACCAATTTGACAAAAAAATACAAATATGACACAATGACTATTAATTACTAAGCAATGCAACATTTTTCCATCATAGACTATTTTGCATCTACCAAGATATTGTTATTCGGCCCAAACATCAACTTCTAAATTCAGTGAGAGATAATTTAGTTGTTATACGGCGACGTATAAGCTCTCAATCATCGACTGAGAGAGATGCAACAGTTTATTATACAAAATCGGTCAAATGACGGAAGATACTATCATATCACCAACGTTATCTATCTACAGGAGATAATGATAAGGTATTGTTAAATATGAGTCAAGAAAATTAATTCACATCCACAAAATAAAAAACAAAGTAACTTAACATAAAATTTATTTAAAGAAATTATAATCAAATTTGATTAAAGGTAAAAATAAATATACAAGGTATAACAGGTATATCTGGTAACTATCTCTTGGAATGAAAAAAATATCACTACTGCCTAGATATAAAAGTAAAAGCCAATAAACTGAAGCGTACTATAAGAATCAAACACATATAAAGAATAGCATAGGAATAAATAAGCCTAGAAACAGTATGTGCATTGTGAGGTACATTATTCTGTCCTATTTTAATATGTAAAAATTATCAGAAACTCATGCATAAACCATAAATACTGTGCTGTAAACTATACTCCAACTGTTACTTATTTGGAATGATTATCAGGCTTTCAGCATAATCAGTCTTTTATTTACCCACACTGATACTTTTTTGCACACACAATGCGAGGGCTTAGTGTCAGCAGGCGGTATCTATAATCTTTGTGAAATCATCATCGTTAGATTCACCATACTTCATTTTAGTGTTCACGAAATTTGTTCTTCTTATTGTGTCAAAGAAATGCATCTCAATTTTAATCCCTAAATCAAGGATTACAGAAGAATTCACGAACATTACAGAACGTGTTTTAACACTAAGTCCTCGAATTATTTGGTATAAACCATATACCTCTTTCCTTCCCAATTACTTTTGTTTTAAAGTCAATAATACTTTAGCATACTAGAGTCGAAAGCATTTATGACAAAACAATGACACCTTTCCCAAGGCGAATATATTTTCTGAATATATATTTTTTCTAGCTTCATCTCCAAATAATAGTCGAGTAACACATATTTAAATATGGCAACATAAATAGGCATTCCCAATCACGAATATTTTCCACTCACTAGTTCGGTCCTAAGGAATGTAATTTCTTCATCACTATCATTTTGAACAGACTTAAGTTCTGTAGATAGCTCGTTCACATCCTCTGTCAATCTCTTTATTTTTGCTTCCTTATTATTAAGTTCGAATTTACTACATTCTAGCTCTGCTTCCAATTGCTTTATTTTCTCCAGTAATTTTTCTTTGTCTGCTATTGCCCTTCTGCGCTCACTGCTCTCTTCAGCTGCCTGTCTACTCAACCTGCCAACCTTTAAAGATAATCCTGAATATAGACAAAAAATAAGACAGGAGACATTTGTGCGCTATATCAAAGAATCTCTAGACCGAGATATTCAAAGTGCAACTCTGTAAAAATGACATATGTTCATCTTTTGCATGACTTAGCCAAGTTTTTCTAGAAATATTTATTTTTTAATATATTACTTTGATCATTATTTTGTGTGTGCTGTTGTAGTTTTGTAACCTGATGACGCATTGTGGGTTTGAAGAAATCATCAGGTATAATGTTTCTCAATTGCTGAATAGCTACTGATACATAGAGAGTGTGAAACTTACTTAAAACTGTGTCAATATGCAATAAATGTGTCATCCTTGGCATCCAAAAGAAATTCTTAGTGCGCCTATTTAGACACTATCTATATAAAGAGCGCAATCTGCTTACATACCATTAGACCCATGATATTGAATAACGTATTCTACTTCAGGTAGCCAATCTAATGCTATATTCCCGTGTCCAAAAAATTATCCTAAGTAAATTGATATACTGTAGCACTGTTGCATAATCTACAAGGATTTGTCACAACTGTTAGTATCTCATAGTTGGCACTGTCCATATAATCATATAGGTGTCTACATCGCCATCTATCCTTTTAAAAGTATATATAGTAAATAGATAAACAGCTGTGACAAATTCTCACAGATGATGATCTTTATTTCATAGCAATGTGCTAACAGAGAAAACATTTGGATATAAACTTATAAACTACAATTTTCTATTACAATTTTTTAAATGCCTTTTGAAGTTAACAAAATTTGTAGTTTTAATTTCTTCTGGAATCCTATTAAAATCCACAAGGCCCTTATAAAATAAGCTGTTTTGGGCAAGGAAGATTGTACCCGAGACACATAAAAGTTGGAATTAGATCTAACATTATAAATATGTATATCGCTGACCATTTTTAATTTATTTATAATATGCTCTGGGTACATTCTATTCCTTATTTTGTATACTACCACCATAGTGTTATAAAAGATCTCCTGGCTTACACTTAATAAATTTGTAGATGTCAGCATGTCTTTAATTCTACCGTATCTTCCCCACCCCAAAATACTTCTCAATGCCTGGTTTTGTTTTTTTTAATTAATATCAATATCACTTTTCTTAAACATATACAAGATTGTTGCACAGTAACTGAAATGTGGTAGGATTATCGTCTTATATATAATTAATTTAGCGCAGACACTCAGGTCTTTCCCCATTCTACATAATAAATTCACTTTCTTTGATAGCTTTTTGGTTATATAAATTGCATGTTTTGAAAACGTTAAATTTTCATCTATAATTATTCCTAAATATTTACATTCATCAACTTGATCTAGTCTACTACCATTAATTACTACACCTTTGTTATTGTATGTGTTAGTTACATTATGCTTAGATTTCAATATCATACATTTAGCTTTATTTACATTCACACTTAAACTATACTAAGTGACATATAAATCCGAACACCCAGTTTAAATGGTTTTATTTTAATAATAGTTGGTGAATGTATTTATCTTACTGTAAATAACAAGTGAAAAAATTTTCAGCCTTATCAGTTGGACGTTCCGGTTTTTATACTGCTTTTTTTTAATTCACTAACGCTCTAAAAATGAATATTTCAGCCGCAGTAAAGAATCAACGTTGGCGGATTTTGGTTCTTGACATCCTTTACGATCGGTTACGATGCCTAGAGTACGGAGACCTGTACGATTTCGTCAACTTAGTGAGTTTGATAGAGGCCGTATAGTGGGACTTCGGGAAGCTGGACTTTCTTTTCGGGCAATTGCAGTTAGAGTGCAAAGAAGTGTAGACACTGTGGTTAGGTGTTGTCAGGCATGGTTTCGAGAAGGCCGTACACAAAGAGCAAGGGGTACTGGACGCTGCCGTAGAACAACAGGCCGCCTAAGATTATTGGCCTTAAGGGACCGTTTCTCCACTACCAGGTCCATTGCAAATGAATGGTTTGCAGAACACGGAAGATCTATTGGCATGCGAAGTGTTTACCGACGAATGAGAAGTTTTGGCTTGTTTTCATACCGGCCACACTGGGTCCTCCCTTTAACTCGAGAACACCGACGTAATCGCCTTGAGTGGTGCAGACAACGGTCACTCTGAGATCAGGAATCGAACAGTATTGTCTTTAGTGACGAGTCTCAATTTTGTTTAGGCATGCACGATGGTCGTGCTAGGGTTAGAAGGCGACGGTGGTGAAAGGAGGAATCCACAGTTTTTTGTTGAAAGACATGTTCATCACACTGTTGGAGTTATGGTTTGGGATGCTATAGCTTATGGTTCCAGGTCACCTCTAATCTTTATCAGAGGTAACATGAACGCGCAGCGTTATATCCACGAAGTTCTAGAACCCCATCTTTTACCCTATCTTGACACCCTGGCAGATCCAACTTTCCACTAAGATAATGCCCGACCACATGTTGCAAGAGTCACAATAGACTTCTTTCAACATAATGATGTTACATTGTTACCATGACCACCAAGATCTCCCGACTTATCCCCAATTGAGCACGTGTGGGATATGATGGGTAGGAGATTGCTCAATTTGCAACGTCCTCCTCAGACTCTAGAAGCACTTCGAGAGGAGTTGGTGGTTGCCTGGAATGAGATACCACAGGAGGACATTGACCACCTGATCAGAAGCATGCCTAGGCGCGTTGGAGAATGCGTAGCACATCAGGGTGCATCCACACATTATTAAAGGTCAAAGGCTTTAAAGCAGTGCAATCATTTTGAAATTTTTCTCATTTACTTATTATGCTTCCTTAAGTACTTATACAAAATTTTATTAAAATAAAACCATTTAAACTGGGTGTTCGGATTTATATGTCACTTAGTATATTATTGTTTGACCATTTATATATATTATTTAAATCTTCATTTAAAAAGTTTATTATATCATCCACTGAATCACCCTTAACAAAAAGCATAGTGTCATCTGCAAAGAGTTGAATTTCACACTTCTTAATTATATTAACAATGTCATTTATGTACAACAAAAACAATTCTGGGCCCAGCACAGTACCCTGTGGAACACCATGTACATTGATCTTAGATTCAGATAATGATTCTAAATATTTGGTTTTTTGAGATCTCATTTCCAAGTATTGTGAAAACCAACCTAGGACTTTACCTTGAAAGCCATACCTTTGTAACTTCCTAATTAGTAATTCTCTGTTAACAGTTTCAAATGCTCTGCGAAAGTCCAAGAACACGACGCCCACGGTATCTCGTTTTATCTCGGATTGCTTTGTTTGGAGCTGGCATATAGCATTAAGCTTTCTACCTCCACGTAGAATACGTTAATCAATGCCCAGGATTACACAGCAGATGCGGTTAGTTCCATATCAGTTACTTAATATAGTCCACTATATTGCAACATATAAGGATCATTTCAGACCCGATGTCATGTTCATGTGTAGCATAATTTTGCTCGTGACGCCACGCTCTGTGCATGACAAGCCACGTTGGCACAATACGGTAGAAACGCGTTTTGACAGCAATATCTCAGATTATGATTAAAGGTAAAATTAATACAAGTACAGTTTGCAATTCTGCATTCCAATGCGCTATAGCTGCTATGATGTTTTGAAATCATTTTTGATGAATATAAGAGTCAACAGTTCTAAAGAAACAGAAGGCTTATCACACAATAATATACCATATACAGCACAATATATAACAGCATATCAAACACGTTTTATACTAGGATGCAACGCATCTGAAATATGTACGATACTTGTATGGTAAATATTCCGTTTCAGTAGAACATTGGCGTGAACGACAAACTGACTAGTTACGCATATCATTTTCATGCTTCAAGTGATCCACTTTACATAAAGATATGAAAAGCAATTCGTGCGAATTGGTTTGTTGATTATCAATATGTGTCAAGAAAATAGCTTGGCATATTCACCCCACCTGAGTCTCCAATGAAGCAATCTTATCACTCCATGATGTCTTTATATCAGCCAAATGTAAATGAGCCTCTTCCAATCTTTGTTCCAACAGTCTTCTTTCCTGTGCATCCTTCTCGTCCGGCGTTACGCCATTTGACGAACTTTGCCTTAGAATCACCACAAGATCAGCCAAATGCTTTCTTTCTTGCTCACTTTTGGCTAACTCAGCTGCCAAATGAGCAAGATCTCGAGACGTGGAATGTCTAAGAGACTCTAAATCATCCTAAAAAAAAACTGCTGATAATTGGATGCAATAGAGAATTAGATATTTGGCAAAAGCACATACCTGCAATTAGCCCAAAAGCTTACCTTACATTTAGAAGACAATATTGCGAAGAAACACAGTGCAGAAAACATGTAGTTGTGGAAAACCAAAGCGCTATTTACAGTTGAAAAGGTTTATCACCATCAAATCAGAATGAAAAACCAATGTTATGTTATGTGTCAATTTCGCACTTAATCTATATGACTAATTTACAATTTTCTTGAAAAAAAATCGTAACAGCATCCATATATATTTGTAATAAATACAAAAAAATTTCATTCAGATATGAAGGTCAAAACTAGAAGATTGCAAAAATCTCGGTCATTTCACATCATTACACTCACACCTAAACTAAAAAATACTATAAACTCATTACAGATGCTTTTTGTTTTCAACATTTATTACCTGGTGACCAGACTTTAACAAATAAAATGTAGAAATGTTTCACTTTTTATATTAAGCATTTGTCAGGCTGTTATAATAAAAAGAGAAACGTGTCACACTTCTACATTTTTATCTGTGAAAGTGAACTTGGGTATGAGATTGAATAATATGAATTATTTGTTCAGTAGTTTGCATCAATTTAGAATTTCCAAATAAAAATGCATAGGAATAATTTCTTCTATCACGACAAAAATCATATACAATCACATAATCTAAAATAAAAAATATATGTATAATTTTTGAAATGTATAGAAGAAAAGTACAGGAATTATACCAAAAGTTTTACATACACAAATTATACTCACTTGCACATCACTCAAAAGTTCTTCTTGTCTTCTTAATCTGGTTACTTCGGACCTCAATTTTTCTAATTGCAACAGGGCATCTTTTAAGGCAGTGTTTTTTCCCGCTAATTCTTGGTCACGTAATAATACTAAACCTTTTACCTTTGATAATTCTTGAGATTGCAAGCTTTCTAGTTGCTCTGTGTTTTCTTGGAGTTCTAGTATTTTCAGTTTAAATTCTAAAATGATCATATTTGATCTATGAAATTCTTAGCATGGTGTGATAAAAAAGACTGAAATAAGCTCACTAGACGCAACTGGATTGGCAAATCAGAATGGGTCCAGGACAATATTTTCATTCTTCAAAATGCATAGATTTCATATCACTAGGTGCTTGATGAATCCAAAGTACCACAAATGATGACATAGGCACCTAGTTACTTGATGACAGGCATTTTGAAAAATGAAAAAACTGCCCATGCTATTCTATACTTTTCCTCCTGGGTAAGTTGTTGACAAAACTCTTAAGAGACCTTTCTCACTTGATGTAAGGTTCACTATACTATCTCCATGTCAAGGTGCCCTTTTAAACTAAATCTACTAAGCTCTCAATATTTATGCCATTTGTATATCTCTTGGGGATATGGTCTTTATGATAAAAATCCGATAAAATGACTATTTTGTACAACTTGGGTGGGTTTTTTTGTGCATATTTCTATGTCATACACTATTTTCATTGTGATTTTTGTGCGCTATTACAAATAAACATCATGTTTTTTTCCATAATGATGCATGTATGTGATCTGCTGTGAAAACCAAAAAAATCGTCAAACATGAAATTTTAGGGGTTAGTATACTGTGAATACAATATGCAGGACTGAACTAAGGCCTTAGGTTTTGCAATTGTTACTAATAGAGAGTGTAAAACTTGAGCCAGACCTGTGACAATATATAAAAGTTGTGTCATCTTTGGCTCCGCCCCTGACGCCATTTTGTTTAGCTAAAGGAGGTTCTAAAAGCACCTCCGATACTATCACAATGGCGCTATATAAAAAGTGTTGCTGATAGGAGCATTGTATGGCCATAACACATCAAGGCCGCACCTACATGTGATGAGGAGGAGTCCTGGGCGCATGTTCTGTGTTGCTCTAGGATACCACAGGCAAACTATACTTGGGGACATCAAGGAGCTGGAGCTCAAGGACACATGAGGCATACAAAAAAGAGGTGCAAAAGGCCTTTGTGCTGTCTTCCTGTGGTTGCGTGAATGCCTCAAATTTGTATTGTAATTGATTAATTCATTCATTCTCTAACTACTATCTCAATGATTTCTGCAAAGTAAGCTTAGCCCAGTCTTTTTAATCACTCCTTGTGTATAATAAAATACAGAATAAGCATTCCAAGCATCTTAGTCTTACAACTGTTCAGTTTTTAAATTAGTCTTAGATTGTTGCTGATAAGCGTGGTTTCCATTATTAACCCTTACACCCTAATAAATATAAGGTCAACTCAAATTAAATATCAAATAGGTCAATACTCATATTAGACTATAAAAACTCCTAATTTGTCTTTAGGAATAATAATAATAATTTATTCAAATCAATTACAAATTGTGAACAAATTGATATGCCACAAAAGGAGCATATCCTTGTATATCATCTAAAACCTTTGACTATGATTTTTATTGATTATATACAGTTAATATCCTGTTGTTTTTATGTTTTGTATTTCCTTCAAGTAGTACAATAAGTAATACTTGTAATGTATTTATGTACTATGATCTACCACAACCAATAGTCCATCCAGACTGATTTTGATTAAATCGGTAATTAAGGTTTATTTACTTGTTCGAAAATAAAATTGATGAAAAAATATCTTTGCTAAACAGTGTATTTAAAAATAATGATACAAAATGAACTTTTACTCAAGACTAGTAACGTAACAAACAAAAGATCAAATTTAGAACTAGCATATAGAACCATGTATGTCGATTTGTGAAAAACTATGCGAGGATTCTGTTTACAAAACTTGAGCATCCTAACTGGCCGGGTTGGAAAGGGGCACTTCGTTGGACAAAACGGCGATAAAACTGTAATCCAATCTTGCAAATCAAAATTTTTGCTTCAATCAATGACTTCAAATGTTGTAGGTTTCACACGGCAATTTTTCAATTCATCTACCAGTCATCCGCTACCTCAGTGTATGCTCTTTGGTTCACGAGACTCATATCTCTATCACACTCGAGGTATGAATGCCTCCTTATCAGGAATATTTCTTTCACAGTAGTAAGATGATTTTTCTTGGTAACCAAGTAATGCAAAAACCGGATAACAGTAAATTTTTTATTTTGCCCTGCACAGGAGTCACAGAAAATGGCAAGTTCTTTTACTTCCATAGGCAGGATGTTATAAAAAAAGTGATACAGCATAGAACAGACAATGTCAGCTCCTTTCTTAGCAATAGATTGTAGGTATAAAACATAGAATTCGAGTTTGACAGAATGTGGATGTTAAAACTGATGAAATTTAGTCGGAGCTTATAGTAAACATCATTTGTGGTGATATTTGGACAGGGCAAGTTTTTTTGGTAATCCATCGTGATACTTTCGATAGCGTGGAACTTCGAGGTACGTTTGCGGTAAGTTCTCTTTAGACTGTAAAATCGCTCACTCCTTTCTTGATGTAGTGTCTTCTCAAGTATCTTTTTCGGCGGTAAGTGAAGATATATCAGCACATACTACAAGTATCTTTTCGTGGATAACCGAGCGATATATTGAAGCTGTTTTCAAAGATTTCAGGTAGGTACGGCCGATGCAATGCCGCTTTTCCATATGGACTGATGCCGTTTTTCCATACACGTGCAGGGACTCATGCCATTCTTCCCCGGCACAGGAAATCTTATAGCTGTTGTTTTGTGAACCTAAGCCCTTTTTACAATTTAAGAAGCTGATTACAAGATAGCATCAGGAAAATGCCACCAAAATAAACTGAAAGCTCAATTTAGTCAAATAAGGGACTAATGCCGTTTTTCCCCGGTACCCTTCAGATGTGTATAAGTGTTAGTATGTTTAGAGCTAATTTCATTTTAGTTTCCAACACTGATTCAGATTTGATTCAACTTTTATGACGCACATTTAATACTGAAACACCCCTATACAGGGTTTGTCCGGAAAGTAATAGGACTGAGTCGATTTAAAAAAATTTATTGAGCCAATCGTTACCATTCTTTAAAAACTTTCAAAATAGGCACCTTCTGCGTCGATGCAGTGCTGCCAGCGCGATTTCCAAGCATTGAAGGCGTCACGGAAGGCATTCTCCGGAATAGCCTTGAGAGCCGCGGTGCATGCTGCTTGGATCCCCTCTGTCGTCTCAAAATGCTTGCCTTTCATCGGCCTTTTCAGACGAGGAAACAAAAAAAGTCCGGGGGGGGGGGCACATCTGGGCTGTAGGGCGGCTGCGGAAGCGTTGGAATGCCGGCCTTGGTCAGATAGCTGTTCACAAGAAAGGCGGTGTGAAGCGGGGCGTTGTCGTGGTGCAACTTCCAGTCGGCTGTGAAGTCTTGTCGGACCCGACTGACCCTTCGTTTGAGTCTTCTGAGCACTTCCACGTAAAACTTGGCGTTGACGGTTTGTCCAGGAGGTACAAATTCATGGTGGACGATGCCTTTGATGTCAAAAAAGACAATGAGCATCGTTTTCACTTTGGATTTGCTCATTCTTCCCTTTTTCACAGTATCGGTGTTTGTTGAAGTCGAAGGTCTTCCAGCACGGTCTTCATCAGCGACCTCTTCCCGGCCCTCCAAAAAGGCCTGGCGCCACCGAAACACACCACTTTTTGCTAAAGCAACACCTGGGTAAGCCTGCTTGATCATATCAAACGTCTCTGTCGCAGATTTACCGATTTTCACACAGAATTTAATCGCGTACCTCTGCTCTAACGAACGCTGCATTTTCGGCTTGCACCACTCACAGAAACACGAAAATGCCTGTCCTGAGTCTCCAAGTGCTCGAAGACAACAGACCAGCCGCTCATTCGTTAGATAGAAACGCCCTCTACCGAATCCAGTCCGTGCGCACGCCCCGAAGTACAGTCATGGCGGAAGAAAATGAGTCCGATTACTTTCCAGACAAACCCTGTATATCTGCAGGCAACAGTCGTATTTGGATTCTAATACGAAATATCCTAGAATCACTCTAGTCTTGTGCCATATATGATCTCATGTTCTTACAGCCACATGTCTCTGCAAGAAGTATGGTTTCGGGACAGTTTTGTCTGAATATTGCAAAGAAGTATTAGGTGATTTAACAGCAAGTAAAGGAATGTCAAAGTGCCAGTTTGTGACAATACCAATTTCAAAGATTTTAATAGGATAGATAATTCATAGGAATCATAATAAGAACAAGGAGTACCCAACAACAAACAGTTTGTAAAGAAGAGACTTATAATTGTAAGGGAGTACTGCTTGGGTTAGAGCAGGAAAGAAAGCAGACAGTTTTAAAATAATTAGCATGGAGGTTAGAACTCCATGAAATTTATGCTTTGCAGGTAACTCTAAAGAAGTTAATAAGCAATGAAATAACTACAGATTATCAAATATTGTAATACATCACTGTGCAGAAATGAAATATCAATATTTTTGTATTACTCAACCATCTCAGGTATCATGAGTTTATACTTTTACATTACATATTGAACAATAACAAATTGTGAAATATAATAATTCTCTGAATGGAAACAAGATAAAATGGATTATGGATTACCTTCTGCATTCTTTAAAGCCTCCTTCAAATTGGATATTTGCTTATATGCCTCATCCTTCTCATGTTCCAAAGCATGCAGCCGATTATCTTTGTCCCTTGTTATCTCTTTCCATTCATGTTCTTTCTGTTCTAATTTTCTGGCAAAGTCCGATTCTAGCTTGGCCAGCCTTCTCCGAAGTTCCTCAGGTTCAATGGGGCCATCCTCCCTGAAGCCCTCTGATGATACGATGGAGTTTAGACTTGATGTAGACCCTTGATGGGAGCGACCTCTTATAGATTCTATTTTCTGGACTGTAGAAGATGTAATTTTAGCTGTAAGTTTGGACAAATCGCTGCCTGTCTCTTCGCGAATCTTGTTTTTTAGGGATGCAAACATATTTGTAGTAATTTCGCTTGGTTAAACCCTGGACATTATGTAGATATACACTTTAATAATACTGTTATGGCGTTAGCACATATTTGGTATAGTAGTAAGATCGAAGTACGCTTATATGTTTATGCAGTTAATAAGTAAATGCAAATTTTAACACGTATTCTGTTTAATTTTATTGATAATTTTTTAAGATACGAACTGTCACTGTCATCCAACCACCAAACTTCAAATGACATGTCATTCATGTCAAACTCCTTCAAAAAAGACTTGTAATATATGCAACCAGTATGGCAGCCTACAAAAGTTTAGATATACTGCCGCCACAAAAGCTCAAAAATCATGTCACGCTGCTAAAGTTGAGTATTTAATCATTGACATCAACCTCTATATATTATAAAAAATCAGTAATCATGACAAGCTTTGTTCATCCTGATTAAACCAACCATAATCCTTATTTAGTTATTGATTTTGAGTTCCTAAATATAAATAAAATATATAAATATAAAATATTCTTCGAACATCCATCAATAAAATGCATTTTATGGAGTATTGGGATTTAAGTATTAAAATCTAATTGGCAATCAAGCACCCGCTGAATATAGATTTTGCGTGAGCGTGTGCATAACGAAGGATGAAAACAAAGTCAAGTAGATTGACTCTATACTTCCCACGCATTTGAAACGTTTAGTACAAAACTAGTTATGCACTATTTGGACTTGCCATGGGAAAAAATCCTAAGATTGCGGCAATGAGCGCATCGGTACACAGTAGCCCCATTTCTTTGAAGCTCTCGTGTAAAACTGTTTATCAAGAATGTTTGACAACTGATTATAAGTTTTTGATTCCTTTTGTATAAAACATTTTTTCTAAACACATACAATAAAGTTAAAAGGACGATCTACATCTGGACATATTGTTTTAAGCATCTGGCACAAGTTGTCTGACAAATCAGGCTACTACTCAATGGGTATGCAGGCATTCAAAGATTGAAAGTACCTATGTCCCATGTTTTGTCTTTCAGAAAATAGGTAATGCCTGGCAGCCTTAGGATGTTGTATTAGAGCAAATTTACTTGCCCCATCAGATAAAAAACCGTCTTATAAATATAAAATAGGGAAATTAAATAAAACGAGAACATTTACCAATATATAATTTTAGTATACACCTTTCAACAATGCGCCATAACATTCTGATATATACTAATATATAACTATTTACACATTCAATATACAAATATACATAAAGGCTATGCATATATTCTGCAGTAACAAATATATATCTTTAAAACAACTATTTGGTAGTGTAAAAACTAAATAACTTACAATTCAACAAACAACATAAAAGTTCGCTTTCACGGAAAACATTCAGGTCTATCAAATTTGTAAATACTATTTGAATTTGATGGGTCATTCCAAATCGGAATAAAATTTTAAATACACACGTAGTTTGTAGACTATGCAAAAAACATATTTTTAATGATGGGGGCATAACTCGTCAAAGATACTTTGGAATGCTGAAAATATGTCAAACAGTACACTCAATTACAAGAAGAGTACGTCAATTGTCAAAAGTGACCCATGATTTTAGCAAAAATCCAAAATCTTCTTTTTACGGGAAAATTAAGGGTACTTTTGATATCTGTTGACAGATTGGGCGCCCCCAGGGAACAAGGCTGTAGTTCTTTTATGGAAGCGGCTATTTCAGTCAAATGAGTGCTGGCAGAAAACACTACAATGTTCGGCATTCCGCGAATGCGTTCAGTTTATGTGCATCAAGGCAGAAAGATAAAAAAATAGTTTAAATTATCAATAACAGTGACACCATGCTGCCGTTATAATAGAACATACACTTAAGTGGGAATTGTATCAAAATAAATACATATACACCTATACACGTGTTTATGTAACGATTTGAAAGCATCTATAACCTACATGATAATGAAATATGTATTTATATGTTTCGTTTACAACTATGGCTCAAAAAAGCCCTCCATGTTGGTGCTTTGATATATTTTCAACGTTCCATACCATTTGACTTTGTGTAATTCTTCGGCATCGTTGAAATACAGTTTTGTAAACATCTAACACAACATTCAACAATAAACTCTACACATTTAAACAGCAATTTTTACGTATCAGTCTCGCGACGTTGTCATAGTGCAGAGAAAATTTTATTATGAAGCTGGGAACATGAATATATGATGCCTCCACCAATTATACTGAAAAAGATAAAGTGCTTTAGATTTCCTGATAAAGGCGAATTTTCTTGGGAAGTAGCAGTAGAACTCATGCATAAATTTACTTTCAGATGTCTGTTTCAACCGTGTACCGTAGTGATGATTGCTAAAACGCATAAAACGACGTCTTATACGATTGCTCATGGTCACAGAAACGGAAAGCAAACATATTCGATTCAGCCTGAGGAACATGTGTATCATATGCCTTTATTATAGCAATACAACCCACTTTAACGAATCAAGCTGTAAAAAAATTAAGAGTTCAATAGTTTCAAATGTCCACTGGACGTTAACAAAAACATTTTCTTAAAACAAGTAAAAAAGATCCATTCGTGTATGTTGAATGTACAATATAAATTGGAATTTCAAATAAAATTGTGGGTCTAAATAGAACATGGCAATGAAAATGCTCTAGTTATAGTAAAATCTGGCCAAACATGAGCAACTTCAACAAACGTATATATGTAGGGTATGATAACCATATATATTCTTTCTAAAGAGACATTTGCTCAGTCATATTTATAATTTATATCTACTGAAACATTTTGTTTTGTTGCGATGCGTATTGTATGATATTAAAGCAAGGATTGAATTATTAAACCTTCTACAATTAAAGGACATACACAAGCATAACAGCTGGCCAAAACGTCTGAGGAGAAAAAATGAAATAAGCGTTTACCCACACCTCATAATTGCTAATAAAAATAAACTCTCCAAATAATTAGTATATTTTAAAAGCTACCGTAATTAAAAACTTATTACAATGTAGAAAAAGCATGCAACAAATAACATACACATCATGCAATAAAGTCTATCTTTAGCACGTACAATAATTTTTCCAACAAGGTATATAGATTTTTTATTCTAAACAGCGAAAACATTGCACTTATACATACATAAAACTATTCAGTACTAGTAAATACAAGGTGGTGGAACCTTTTTACTACTCAAACAAATAACCTACACAAAAAGTTGTACGATACTATGCTTTATTAATGATGAGTCATAAAATAATATTTAATATGAATACAAAGAGATCCACTTTGTAAAATCAGAGTCTAAAACAAAAAAAGTCAGTGTCTTTCTTTTATAAAGATCAAAGAGTAAACCTAAGGAAAACTTGTTCAAATGAGTCTTAGATGTATGTAGTAGACGTTAAGGACCACAAAAAACTATAACTATCGTGTGGAAAGATAATGCATGCGGCATATTGTGCATCTATACGTTTGCATCATGATATTTCTGTCGCAGCTACTACTTTTTATACAAACGTTGAGGTGATAATTTGTTAGTATAATCCAACTTGTTTATTATGTTTGAATGGAGGGCTAGATATTTAAAAAGCTCATCTTTTTCAGTGTTGATCCTCTATAAACCTACTACATACCGTTACATGCAGTTCCATATCATGAATACCGTACCTAATGATAATCATGAATGTTATTACCTTGATCAAAACAACTAGGATTAATCAAATTAATCAATTCGTTCTCAGTGAGTGAAGTGAATGACTGTGGAATCATCCGATCCTCGCTTTTCTTGTCGCTGACAGCAGCCACGTGTGACTGTTGAACCTCCGTCACAGGAAACGGTTGTGGCTGAACGAAAGTTCCTTCGTGGCTCAGAGCAGTCGTGGAAGGGGAGGTTATCGAGCCGATGTCTTGACCCTTCGTCGTGCCCAGTTCAGAAATTTTCTTTTGGGTTTCCAGCAAGTCCACGGCAGCTTTCAGTAACACCGCCTTCTCAGGTTCGCTGACCAGACTGACGGTCAGGGGAGTGCTGGAAGGTGCGATGCCACTAGGAACCAACAGGTTCTGCGTAGGCGCAGGGAGAAGATTGGTTTCCACACTTGCCTGGCACATAGTGGGCAGCAGAGTTTCATTGCTTCTGCACATCAAGCTTGGAGATATCTGAGAGTTCAGAATAACTTCGGACGACAGATTTGGGGGCGTGTGATTATGTTGCATCTCGATAGGAGACGATAGTCTTGTGGATATAGCTGGAGATACCATCAGGTTATTTTGAGTATTCAGCAAGACGTCCTGCGAGGGAATGGCCAAATCATCTTTTGGCGCCGTGTCTGTTCTTGTAGGGCTCAAGTGGGTCTCTACAGTGGAGTTCACTAGAGCGTCCAGCCTCTCGGTGTTGATAGGAGTCGGCACGCTTCGTTCAATGCTTGATGCCATAGTTGTTATAGTGGTATTTGTCTGCTCGCCAATAGATCGTTCAGCAATGTCAGCTCCTTCCGACTTGGCCACTATGTTTGCGGCTTCAGTTTGTTGTGATGTATTGGACATGTAGTTCTTGTTCGAGCTCAAGTATACAGCTTCTCTAGATGCCACGTTTGGTGCTAGGTATGAGAGGCTTGGGGTGGTATTGGTGATCATGCCGCAATGCTGAGATTTTTGCACTTGGTAGACTGGAGGTTCACTAGCGCTGATGATGTGCGTCAGTTTTTCGCTCAAATCGTTCTTCATCAGCATTCCTGGAGGATTTGTCATAGGAATCACTGAGGGTTTTGCTTCAATTTTGTTCAAATAGCTTTCGACACTCTGCGCGCTTTGACTAGGTAATGGCTCAGTGATGTTCTCGCTTATACCGAAACGTTGCAATGTGGCCATGGTAGGCGCCGATGTACTCGAAAGATCGGAAGCAGTTGGCATCTTCATCGTGAGATCCATCACCTTCTCCCTATCGTTGCTCAGGAGTCGAGGTAAGATTGACGGCTGCGAAGTACTGTCATCGTTGACATTAGACATGCTCGAGTTTGTATTCTCGCAAGAAGACAATTTATTCCTCCTGGACATGATTTCCACGTCGTTTGGAGTATCTTCCTTCCCCACGCTGATGTTGGAGTTCTCGCTCATTTGCGACATCTGGTGCATCATATCCAACGAGTTGTCGTTGACCATAGACATGTTGGAGTCGCCGTGATGAACATCCAAGGAGCTCTCGGAGATGTGCCGGTAGCGCTCATGTTCCTGC